GTATAGGCCTTAATTCTGACCCTATCCCTACCCCCATGCAAAATTTCTTGAGGATCAGACGATAATTGAATACGTTCAACAAATAGTGTTGGGGATGTAGAAAAGCTTTAGAAAATGTACAATTCAAAATTGTGAGCCAAATCGAAAAATCGCATGCGATAAAAAATATGACAAATACTGGTTGTGATTTCGCCGTAATTAAAAATATTGGCAGTAGTGGGCACTTGCTAATAATATATATTTGATGACAAATACATTGTTAATATGATAAAAATCTCCTCCTCCTTACATGCCAGACTGTGGTAAAGATTTAAGATTCCCCAAGACACCTAGAAAAAATAGTTATTAAAATTTGGGTGACCAACTCATTATTTTAACAGAGGCATGTCGTCCGCAATAAGTGGTTACAAAGCCGATTAATAAATACTGGTTTAGCTCTAGTTTAGTAAAAACTCTGGGATTTTATGAATTTTTTCCCAGAGGTAGTTATTTGCACCCAGATTCCGGGGAAGTATTTTTTTCTTGGGAGACGGACCCGGATACCCGGAGCTTCTAAACCGATATGGTCAATATACAACGTTACATGATTGATGATTTGGTTATTTCCGGAGTTATATCGAAATTAATGATTTCTTGGAACCTGATTTTTTAAAAAATCCCAAAAAGTCAAAAAAAAAAAAAAAACATAATGTATGCCAAATTACTGATGACACTATAAGCTCTCCCAAAATGCTACAATATGTCCCTCAAGAAAAAAATACTTTCCCGGAATCAGGGTAAAAATACTTACCTCTGAAAAAAATTCAAAAAAATCCGAGATTTTTTACAAAACTAAAGTTGTTTCTAATGCTGAAAGTGGCATATATGCTTACCAATTTTTTGCTAGGTATTCAATACTTTTCATGTAGTCATTGAAAATTATGATATTTTAAATTAAAGAAACTAATTGCATGACAAATTTGCTCACTTAATGGACACATGAAATGATATAAATTGATGATGCATTTAATATACATAAATAAGTTCAAACATGCACAGAAACAGGATCCATTTACTCCTGATAGTCCAGCAATACATACCAATAAACTATTTTCTCATTAAGGTGAAGCGATGCCACAAACCATTTAATTTTTTTCAAATAAGACAAAAAGCTATGCCAAATAATATCTGCCGCAACAAATTCAGCAACTTTTACTTTCAACAAATAATGATCACATCGGCAAAAAAAGAAACGCAAATACCACTGGGTAGGTGGCAGAAAAAAAGACCGTTCATGAGGTAACCTGATCCCAAATAAGTAAAATGGCAAAAAAACACTTTCAAAGAAAATCATTACACATTTTGAAAAAATAAAAGGAAATCGTAATAAATATGCATGCAAAATAAAAACGAAATGAAATTATAAAAAAAAGAAATTAAGAAAAAACTTGATTTGTTTGTCATATGTAAAACATTTCAATGTTTATTGACCTCAACGTCGGTATGATAAGGAGGATAAAGACAATTGGGGTTCCACATGCAACTTAAAAACTACATTGAAAGTACAAGCACAATATACACGCATAAGTGATATCCTCTAGGTCTTCTTGGGAAAAGGTCGATTTAATTAATAATTGTTATTCTTGGGCTTGAGGTAAGCCATTAGGCTACAGATGTTATATATCACAGACGAATTTTCCAGTCAGTTTTTCGAAATCTGCTCCTCATAATGTCAGTAAATTTGCAGGGGGAGGAAAGGATGAAGAATATAAAATATAAAAATGTATTATATAAACCACCAAGGGAAGGTCAAAATTCGGGCGGGGCCGATTATATGATACCCTACACAACTATGCATATTTAGTAGAACTCCCGTAATAAATAATTAATTTGAAGTAGGTCATACCACCTATCAACATTTGTCACATATATACATATGGGAGCTATAGCTATATCTGAACCGATTTTCACCAAATGTGAAATACTTTCTTCTAGACTGATTTCGGTAGGTCATGCAAAAATTCAGGTCATTTGGACTGATATTAGCCATTTTGTCCACAGTTAACCCGAAATCGGTTGAAGATATAAATTTGGGAGCTATATCCAAATCAGAACCGATCTTGACACAACTTGGCAGAGGTATTTATGGGCTGCATCTGATATTTGATACCAAATATCACTCTTATGGGGTGCATATTACGAATGTGCGGGACTAAAACACTAAATCGGATTAAACATATATATGGGAGTTATATGCCATGTTTACGTTAGAACTTTTTGTAGGGTTAACCTACTTTGAGAGGATTTATTTGAAGTAAAAGTAATGGATATGACAATTTAAATCCAAGTACAGTGGGTTAACCCTCATATATATAAACGTACTTATACCTACATCTGAACCGATTTACTTGCTTCTAGATTGGATTCGGTCGGATGTGTCAAAGTCCAGGACTTTTGGATATTGATATTGGCTATTTTGTGCACAATGAAACCGAAATCGGTTGAAGATATATATTGGAGCTATATCTAAATCTTAAGCGATCTCGATAGAGTAATTTCTGCCCTATATATTTTATCTGGTACCAAATATCATTGTTGTCGAATGTATATTACGAATGTGAGGGACTTAAACACCAAATCAGGTGAAACATATACATGGCAGCTATAGCTATATCTGAATCGATTTTCACCAAAAATGATGTATTTGCTTCTAGACTTTGGACTTATATTGGCCATTTGGTGAACAATTAACCCGAAATCGGTGAACGATATATATGAGAGCTATATCTAAATTTGAACTGATTCTAATCAACAGGGTTCGTTTTTGGCTAACAAACATTGTTTGGAAAATTTCATTTGAATTGGATAATAAATGCGACCTGCATTTTGTTCACAAAAGTGCATAGACAGACGGACGGGAAGACGGACTGACATGCATAAATTGACTCAGAAATTGATTCTATGAAGATCCTCCTTCTCCATGTTACAAACAAATTCACAAAGACATAATACCCTTACCTCTATGTGGTGTAGGATTTAAAAAGTTTTTGGAAATATGTTACAAGTGTGTCAAAAGTATGAAAACCCGTTGAAAAAATCATATTTTGTTCAAACAGCCGTGGGTTCGAAAATTTTCAGGAAAAGTATATGTGCTATTATTAACAGCTAGCAAGTGTCCGCTACTTCTTCGCCTTAAAACGTTGGATTCATTCCACCAGTTGTTTAGTACCCGAAGTAGACAATTTGTCCATTATTTCTTCGACAAAATTTCCATTCATAGATTGTACTAAATTTTCAGCTGCATCAGTTGGAATACATTGTATTCATATTGAAGATTTTCCTTCCTTCGTGCACCAAAAATCTTTCGTTTTATAAGTTTACTGAAGAGCATGTTAGTTAAATCCTTGCACAATGGTTCCACATCCAATTTTTCTGGTCAAACATATTTCAATGTCTTTTCATAATAAAAATTGGCCACCATCATATATAAATCGTAGAAACCAACAATGGCTTCAATATCAAATTTCAGTTTTCATGCTCTATCCAATGGTAAATCTAGTACGTATTATTATTTTTAGAACAAACATAGCACCCATTCCCAAATCCACCTCCTTCTCTCAAAACTATCAAATTTCAATTCCAAATTTATTACAGTGACATTGATTTCAGATTCTATTCCTTCACTCACAATCAAATTTAGTAATTCTTTGTACTTTTCGTACAATTATAGTACACGTTTCCAAACCCACCTTCATATCTCAATCCCAGATACCAACAGAGGCTTCAATGTCGTATTTCGGGATTCCAGCCATATTCATTCACCTAATAAGAAATTGTGAAACAATTTAGTTTCTAAACCACTAAACCACCGCCAAATTTTAAACATAAATACAATCAGTGATCTAAATATCAAATTTCAGACTTTTACTTCTATTCCTTCACGCAGTATCAAATGTTGTACCATTCAGTACTTTTCGTACAATTATAGTACAAATTTCCTAAATATGTTAAACTTGAATTGCGATCCTAACTCCAAATTTCAGATTTCAAGCATTATCTGTTCACCCAATAGCAAACATATGTATACTTCTGCCCAGCTCTAAACTATTACTCCATGTAAGATTTCGCGGCATAACCGTAATTGCATTTCCGAAACCACCTCCATATTCAACAACAGAGACCTCAATATCTAATTTCGAGATTGCAGCATTATCCCCTCACCCAATACCAAATGTAGTACTACTTAGTACTTTTCGAAAGATTTAAGTACACATTTCCAAAATCATCTAAATTTTAGATGCCAACAGAGACCTCTATATAAAATTTGTGCATTCCAGCTCTATTCCTTCACCCAATGCCCAATTTAGTACCACTTTATACTTTTCGCAGAATTGTAGTAAACATTTCCAAAACCACCTTCTTGTCTTAACCACAGACAACAACAGTGACATCTATATCAAATTTCGGGATTCCAGCCCTTCACACAATACCAAATTTAGTACTATTTGGTTCTTTTCGTACAAATATAGGTCACATTTCCAAAACTACTGCCAAATCTCAATTTTAGATATCAACAGAGATCGCAGTATCAAATTTCAGAATTATATCTCTATCCCTTTATTCAATACCAAATTTAATAGTAATTAGTACTTTCCACAAAATAACAAATAGTATTATTTTTGAAGTGTAGTACCATTTTGGAACTTTTCGTACCTTAAAGTACACATTCTGTCTGTCCAATATAAATTATTCAATATTTAGTGCATTAATGTACTTTTCGTTCCTTTTTAGTATGTGTTTCCAAAAAGCAGCCTAATCACACGTCTGCACACCAAGACACACCTTTTTAGCCTTTTCGTCTGGGCTTTAATTCAATCTGGCAATGAGTTATTTCAGACTGCCTGCGATGATTTTCAGATTATGTGATTTCGTCCCCATTAGGGACCTGATTAGGGCCTGCTTGACTTTTGACCTTTCTTTACTGGTATTATTGTTTACTTTAAACTTCGAAATTTTGTCTGCATGTATATCCTTTTAAGGATTATTTATTTTTTTGGGTTTTTTTTTCGCTTTTACAAACTTTAACTATTTTAACAAACTAGAATTACACATTATGAGTATGCACGGGTGTATATGTTTATGTATATTTGATTGTCTATTTTTTAGGGAGGGAGGGTGTAACTCGCTTGAGGTTATGGTGGAATTTTGGTGATTAATCATAGGTTAAATTAATATTCACAGTCAGGTCCGTTTGCGTCGTTCATCATCAGGATGGCAAGGATTTGGTTTACAATTGTTTCACATTCACATAACTGCTGGCATGGCCATGTCCATGGGCATGTCCCAAACCATAACCGTATCCACCATGATAATAACCCTGATCCAGAGAATTGCCGGCATAACCATAACCAGCTCCATACTGATGACCCTTGGCATAGATTTCGGGATGATGGGCATGGCCGATTTTCTTGACAACGGCATTGAAGCCGTTATGGTCATCGGCATGGTATTCCACAACACGGGTTGTGCCATCGGATTCCTTTAGGGAATAGCCACCTGGAAACAAAATGTGAAGACAATTTTTCAAAATTTTCCCTTTACCACTTACCCTTCACTAAGCCACCATCACGATGTTCCCATTGATTCTTAATATCACCAGTCTTCAGATCCTTGACACCATAGTCGAATTGATATTTAGGATATTTGTAATAATCCAATTTGCCCACATGGCCAGCATAGCCATAACCTTTATCCAAATATTCTCCGCCATAGTAGCCCAAATCGTAATGTCCTCCGGAACTGTATTTGATGTCCCCACCACCACCACCAACACCACTGCCATGATGGTGATGATGATAAATGGGAATATCATGCTTCACCACCGAGGTATAGCTGGAGCCACCACCGCCATGGGAATATCCTGCCATGGTCAGGCCCACAAAGGCCGATACGACCAAAATCACACTAAAGCTATGCATTTTTCACTTGAATTTAGAAAAAAAGCCTTTTAAGGAAGGAAACAAAAAAATTGCCGATTTTTGTGCAAAACTTCCGAAGATGAACAAACAAAGAAGTCGAAGAACTTAGAATCGAACTGATAATGAACTCGATCCATGGCTTAGTATTTATAGCTTCTAAATCGATTAATATTTCGTAATGAGCTAGAATTAGAACTCTATTGCGTTGTAAGTTTCGTTTCGGCTTTTGTTTTTTTTTGTTATATTTTTGTTTTTATTGCATTTTGACTGTCCAGCGGAATTATGCGGTTGGTTAGTCATTGTTTCCTTCATTGTTGCATATTTTCGAAAACAATACAAAAAAAAAGATCGCGTGTCTGTGCTTGAGTTAATTTTTATAACCATCGTCATAATTGTGCAATTAATAAAGAAGTAAAATCCGCAACATTTGAAGTAACACTTTTTTGTTACGTTTTTGCTTTAGTTTAATTAAAGTCCATTTCATTGTTTAATAATGAAAACAAAATCGGTTTTGAGCAAGACATATAATATATTCAAATGTGTGTGTGTAAAACACAGACATTCCTAAGACAGTAGTCGAATCGGAGTAACTCTATTCAAGTAACAAGTAAAAAAACGGCGTTACATTCTGTCGGCTCGGGTTTGGTATCCCCAACATTAGGTAATAAAAATATTGAAAAATATATCCGAATGTACCCGTTCCGAATAATTTTCAAAGAGATAATTATTTTCAAACAAACCATTATACAAATACCTTTATAGAACCATTCTACAATTGTCAAAATTCCAAACTTGGGTGGTACCGTTACGGAAGGACTATATCGTTCTAGATTTAGTATCCATTGAGAAGCCTCAAAAGCAAATCGAAGAGAAATGTGGCTCACAATGAAGCAAACACACCTGAAACACACACAAACTCGGCAGAAGCCTTGAAGATATATTTAATTTGGCGGAACCAATATATATGGGAGCTATACCCAAGCGATTTTTATACCCTGCACCACATAGTGGTAAGGGTATTATGTCTTTGTGTATTTGCTTGTAACATGGAGAATGAAGCGAGATAGACCCATAGTTACTTTGGAGGATGTTCAAAGAATCATTTTTTGAGTCGATTTATGCATGTTAGTCCGTCCGTCTGTCCATGTATTATTAAGAAAAAATGAAGGTCGCATTTATTATCCGATTGAAATGAAATTTTCGAAACAATATAAGTTTGGTCTTAGGACAAATCCTATTGAAATTAGTGAGAATCGGTTCGAATTTAGATGTAGCTCCCAAATATATCTTCAACTGATTTCGGGTTAATTGTTCACCAAGTGGCCAATATCAGTCCAAAAAAAAAACAAATTTTGCCACTGAAACAAAATCAAACGCCATAACTTTTACACTTTTTATACCCTACAAGACTATGTGTTGGGGGTATTATAAGTTTGATTGGGCCAAAAATTATGTAACACCTCGAAATATTGGTTTCCCACATAGGAAAGTATATATGGATCTTCCTATCTCGCCGAGCTGAGTAGATCTAGCTGTCCATGTTAATTTGTAATCACTCTACAGGTCGCAATTATGGTCCGATCCTCACGAAATTGAGAAGGAATAGAGGAACAGGTCAATTCTGACCATTACGTCGATGCTGATAGAAAATATATCGGATACATATAACGAAATACATACAATGTTATATACAAAGGAATGAGATGTTAGCTAGAATGATTATATCTCAAGAATGGCTGGACCGATTTTGACAAATTTTGTCAATTCAGAATGCCCTTTTGGCATAAAAGTATAAATTGTAAAAAAATCGCATAAACAAATGTCAAAAATTATGTTAATATAGGTTTTGTATTATTTTGTGACACATTTCATTTTTTCATATTTTTTATTGCATGCGATAATTTTAATTTGACTTAAAAAAATGGAAGTATATATTTTGTAATATTTTTTCACATTACAACACCGGTTGGGGCTGTTATATACAGATTGCAATTATTATCCGATCCTCACGAGAACTTTCACAAGGATAAGGCTCAGAAGGGATAGGCCTATTGGTTTTAAAGATATCCGCAAAATATATAGGGGTTGAAATGGACCAACAACTAAAAATGTTCCTGATTTTGCAGCCGTTATAAAGGTCATATAGAAACCAAAGGACACGAAATCTCGCATGTGTGTTAGAGTTTAGCACAGCGAGTAGAATGGACCACTACTTTTGTGTGAAAAAATACCAGCATTACTTACAGGCGATTCTGTCTTTTTTATGCTGATTTCGTTGACGAATATAGCCAAATATCGTAGACAAGCAAATCATATAGATGTGTCTAAATTTAGAGATACAGAGGGGACTCTTGCTTTTGGAGATGATCGCAAAATATTTAGGGGTTCTAATGAACCAAAAACAGAAAAAATTTCCTGATCACACAATTGAAGCCAATAGACACGCTTGAGAATGTCAGGAAAGGATTCAAGCATTTTGGATGGAAAATGGACCACAGCAACTAACAGCATGACGGAGTGCTTAAATATTAGGTAAATGTCCCTGGTCAGGTCAGTGCTCCGTGACATAATTTCAAAAGCGAAATCTTCCAATATGGATTCGGACATAAGGGGTCTTCTAACATATTGTAGTGTTGTTGGGTATCACATGGTCGGCCCAGCACGACTATAGCCTTGCTTACTTGTTTTAAATATTATTGGATGAAATCAAAAAATTCGGAAATAGCATCAAATTTTAGAATAAGTTTAGATTTTTTCGAATTGGTCGCATTTGGCACGAATTATGGCCTTCAGGCGGCCAATGAAACCGTCACAAGCTGCCCGAATGTTGCTCTGCGGTATTTTGACCCATTCTCGGCGAAGCGCTTGCTTGAGGTGATCGACACTTTGGTATTTTTTAGTGCCAACCTTGCCTTCCAAAATACTCCAGACACAATAGTCCAACGGATTGATATCCGGAGATTTTGGTGGCCATTGTGCGCTGGAAATGCAGCGAGAAACCTCATTATGTAACCATTTTTGGGTAGTGCGTGCTGAGTGCGATGGTGCTGAGTTCTGTTGGAATGTCCAAGGTCTGCGGCCAAAATGTTTGCCTGCCCAAGACTTTAATACACCCTCCAAAATATTTTCGCGATAATATTCGGCATTTATTCTGATGCCACGGTCGATTAATGTGAGCGGGGAGCGACCATTGGCTGTTATGGCTGCCCACACCATTACCATGGCCGGCGTTTGAGTTCTGGTGGCCAACCGAGGGTACACATTTTCAGCTGATCTCTTTGGCAAGTAAACACGATCATTTTGTTTGTTTACAGACTGCTGAACAACGAATGACTTCTCATCGGATAAAACCAATTTCGGCAGTTTACAACTTTCGGCGAAGCGAAGCAATTCTTTGTCTCTTTTGAGTCTATTTTCTTTCTGTTGCGGTTTAAGTTCCTGCAACTTTTGGAATTTCAATGGCTTTACCCCGACTTCATTTTTTATTATTTGCCAAATGGAATATTGCGATGTGTTCAGCTCACGAGCCATTTTCGGCGACTGCGTCGCTGGTGTCTATTCAGTCGCTTCTTTACTTTTCGAACCATTTCTGCTGATGTTGCTGTTTTCTTCCGTCCACTTACTTGACGTCTGACTTTTCCGAATATTTTTCCAAGACATCATTATTTTCAAACCAACCATGATACAAAAACCTTTATAAAACCTATCTTCAGCTCTTCAGTCCGTGTATTCTTGTGAACAAAATGCAGGTTGCATTTATTACCCGATTGACATGAAATTTTCCAAACAATATTTTTTTGGCCCAAGGACGAACCCTGCTGAAATTGGTGAGAATCGATAGATTTGGATATAGCTCCCATATATATCTTAAACTGATTTCGGGTTCATTGTGCACTATATGGCTAATATCTGTCCAACTGACCTGAATTTTAGCACATCCGAACCATTATAGTCTATAAGCAGAGACATCAAATTTGGTGAAAATTGGTTCTGGTATAGCAATAGCTCTCGTATATATGCACTCCACAAGAATGATATTTGGTACCACAAATACCTTTGCCAAATTTTGTCAATATCGGATCAGATTAAGATATAGCTCCCATATATATCTTCAACCTTTCGGGTTAATTGTGCACCAAATGACCAATATCAGTCCAAATGACCTAAATTGTGGCACATCCGACCGAATTCAGTCTAGAAGCAAGTACATCAAATTTGGTGATAATCGAACCAGATATAGCTTAAGCTCTCATATATATATATATATATATATATATATATATATATATATATATATATATATATATATATATATATATATATAAAGCCAAATGTTAATAAGTAGCACGATCTACTTCAAATACATTATTTTGTTACGGGAGCTCTACTAAATATGAATAGTGGTGTAGGGTTTCTTATAGCCCCGCCTTTTGACTTCTTCTTACGAATTTTCACGTATCGGGTGATATATGAGGTTTCCCAGGGGTTAGCTATAACCATTTTGACATTTCATACTGAGATCAGCTTTTGGTTAAATTTTTATTTGGTAGTGAAATTATTTAGTATTTTTAATTAATTGAATAAAATATGCAACTTATTACGCCGTATTAAGTCCTATAGGGTATACACTGCAAAACAACAATAAAATGACCACACACAACAAAAATAAACAAAAACTAAATCTAATTAATTTTACATTAACATTCCCTTCATTACGATCGACAGCCAAGACCAGTACAAACACACACGCACACCATATTACTTCATACAAATATATAAGTGTTATACATTGTTAAAAACAATAACAACAAAAAAATATATTTTCGCAAATTTGTTGTTGCAAAGAACTTTAAAAATTAAATTGAAATTAAGCATATAAAACACGTAATTTATTTGCTAAATATTATTTTCGGTGTTATATTCCATTGGTGACTTTCTGGCGTTTTTTGTTTAAATTCGCTGAATATGTCCGTTCCAAGGTCGTAACAGTTTTAAATGTTTTATTTGTTGTTTTTAGTATAAAGTTGGATTATGTCGCAACTGGATTGCTAGGAACTTTGGAAGTTATGTGAAAGGCTTTGTGGAATTTTATCATTAGAATTTCT